TACTCTGAGGCAGCCCTGGGGTGACATGGCATGGCATGAGCGTGTCCCTTCCCGGGGACCCCAGCAGGGGAACAGACCCTGCTGCCACCTCCTGACAAGCCGTGGGTGCAGTGAGCACAGCCAGCCCGTCTTGGGCCCCTTCTAGCCTCAGGACCCCTGGTTTCCTGAGCCGAGGGCTCGACCAGGAAGAACTGACGAGTGGTTCCGTGCTCTCCACAGAGTTCCCACTCTTCTCTTATAATAACGGAGTTGTCATGACCTCCTGTCGCGAGCTGGACAGTAACCGCAGCGCCCTGTCAGCAGCCTCCGCCTTTGCCATAGCAACTGCAGGTGCCAACGAGGGCACCCCAAACAAGGACAAGTACCGGAGGATGTCCTTGGCTAGCGCAGGTACGGGGGATCGCTCACGGCTGGTGATGACAGCCGTGGCCCCAGGGGCTTGTGCCCCTTCAAATGTGGAGCACCTGCTGCCCCAGGGCTTGTTGTGTGCCGAGCCTCCTGCCTGGAGGCCCCTTCCTCCCCACCCACCCCCTCTGCTACTCCAAACCTCTGCTCGGAGTCAAGCCCACTGCCCACGGGAAGCTCGGCCATCCCCACCACCTCCCACTGCCACGACATTTGTCCTGCAGAGAAGGGGTCCCGGAGAGCTCTGATCCAGTGTGGCCCTGTCTGGAGAGGCTGCCAGACGCCTCCAGCAGCCCCTGAAAGGTGCCGAGGTCCGGGAGAGGCAGGTGTATACAGACTGTGCCCACAGAGAAGTCGTGACATCCAGTCTCACTGGTCAGAACCTGGGATGGTTGTCACATATTTTCTCATCCCCTGCCCATAGCCCACCCGCCAGCAGCCAGGTGGGGCAGCCCGACTTCCCCAGATCTGGGGTCTGAGTCTGGACTAGAGGCCAGTGCTGTGTCTTATCCTCGCGTCCCCACTCTTGCCTCTGCCACATGTGCCACCAGGCTTTCCCCCCGACCAGAGGAACGGAGACAAGGAGTTTGTGATCCGCAGAGCGGCCACCAATCGCGTCCTGAATGTGCTCCGCCACTGGGTCTCCAAGCACTCTCAGGTGGGTGGGACTAACCCTGGGGCGGGCTGCTGGGAACCCGAGGCCACTGACCCCAGGAGCCAGCCACCCTGATATTCTCGGGATGGCCTGCTCAGATCCCCTACAATGGGACCTAGGACATTCCAGGGGACGAGGGGCCTCTGCTCTCCACCTCTGTCTACAGCAGGGATACCTCCCAGAGCCTGGCCCAGGGGTGTAGCAGTCAAGATCAAGGGATGGTCCTTGATCTTGCCCAGGGCCTTCTACCTCTGGGTCTGGAGGCTCCACTGACGCCTGGCCAGGCAGCTAGGGAAGAGGGGAGTGAGGCGGGCAGCCTGCTGTGGGCAGGAGTCGAACCCTCAGCCTCCTCCTCTGGCCAGGCCGGGACCACCCCAGGGCAGCTGGAACAGTAGCCACAGCCGCCCTCCCTTCTTTCCCACAGGACTTTGAGACCAACGACGAGCTCAAATGCAAGGTGATCAGCTTCCTGGAGGAGGTCATGCACGACCCGGAGCTCCTAACCCAGGAGCGGAAGGCTGCGGCCAACATCATCAGGTAAGGGCTGAGGTCAGCCTGCTGGGATGCGGCCCTGCGCTCGGCCTCCGGACGGCTGGCCAGAGGCAGGGAGGCAAGGAGGGACAGTCCCAGGCCGAAGGACTGCCTCAGGCAGGTGTGCTGGGAGGATCTCGGGGCAGCCAGGCTCTGGAGTGGGCTATCCATGTGTAGTTCTCCCCTCTGCCTGCCCCCGTCAGGCCTTGAGCCCCTTGAGGCAAGAAGGGTGTCTGTTTCTCCATCCACACCCACTGAGAACACCTGTCTAGCCCATGCAGTCCTGCGTGGTAGCCACTAGCGACATATAGGTGTGAAATCTCAATTAATTAAAATTAAATAAAATTTAACATTCAGTTCTGGGACTTTCTGGCGGTCCAGTGGTTAGGACTCTGAGCTTTCACTGCAGGGGGCTTGGGTTCCATCCCTGGTCGGGGAAGATCCCACATGCCACCCAGACCAAAAAAAAAAAAAAAGAATAGCATTAAAAAAAATAAATTAATAAAATTCAGCTCCTTGGTCACACGAGCCATGGTGCCTCCATACTGGGCAGCATAAAGAACATTCCCATCGTTGAGGAGGGTTCTGTTGAACAGCACTGGCAAGCCCCTGTTTCTAGGTGCTCAGGGAATGTCTGTTGAATTGAGTTAAGTTGTCCCCAAACCTGTCCCTTTTCCTCCTGCCCCAGACTGCCTCTCCTGACGGAGGTCAGAGGTCAGGTGGCCCCACGTCCAAGCCCTGCTGGCTCAGACAGTGACTCACTGTGTGACCTTGGGCAAGCCCCTTCTCTGAACCTCGTTTTTCTCCTCTGTAAAATGGGCGAGCAGCACCCACTTCCAGGGCTGTGGTGAGGCTGTGGTGAGATCATGCTGATGCCTCTGCAGGTCTTTCAGGGGTGTTGGGCGCAGGCCCCAGTCCACCCACTGCTCCCATCCTGCTGACTCAGGCTGCCCTCCGGACCTGCCCAGGTGCACGGGCTCGCGGTCAGGCCTCACCTCCTCACCTCTTGCCTGGCTCCGGCTGCCCCTGTCTGTCTCGCGGTCATGGTCTCTGACACAGACTTGCAGCCACTTTCCTGCCGACCACCCAGTCTGCAGTCTTCCTCCAGCCAGACCATCCACTTTGCTTTCCCAAGGCCCGTGCTGCAGGCCCTGTCGTTCCTGCAGGCTCAGCATCCTAGACTCTCTTCCACACGTCCCTGCCTTCAGTACCTGCCCCCTAGACACACACACACACACACACACACACGCACATGTACGCATACGCACACACACACATGCACAGAGTCAGCCACCAGGTCCCCCAGGCGCCTCTTCCTGGTCCCCAGGAGGCTTGCAGGGCTGTGCCGGGACCTTGAGCCTATCAGCCAAAGTCACCCTCGGTCAGGGAGCTTGTTTGGGATGCTGCCGGGGTGCAGGGGAATGTGCCGGCTGTGCTGTTGGGCAGCCCTGGTGTGGACGGTGGACCCACCAAGCCCCAGCTGCGGGTCTGCAGGTGAGAATCCTCTGAGCCACTGCTTCCTCAGTGGGAGATCACCAGTGACTCAACCAGGCCCTGCAGCCTCCTGAGTGTCCCCCCAGCCCCAGCTTGGCTCTCAGGCCCATCCCTGGGATTCATGATCGCTGTCGGAACGAGGGTGCAGCACTTTGGCCTGACTCCGAGGGTCCACCCTCTTTCCCCACCACTACTTGGGACCCACTCAACTGTACTCAGCAGCCCATCAATGGCGTCCCACCTCCGGGCCTTTGGCCCCCACACTGCTGCCTCCCACCATCCTCCGTCTCTCCCGTTTGGACGGCTTCCCAGCCCCTCCTGGCCTCTCTGATCCTCCAGTCCTGAAGCTCCTTCCCCTCCTTCCCCGCATCATCCCACAGGCACGCAGGAGCATGGACCATGTGCCCAGCCCGTGCCGGGTACCAGAGCTACAGGGACAAATCGGACATCACTCTGCCCTCAGGGGCTCCTGGCGGGTCTAGCGGTGGGGGGACAGGCACATACACAGCCGTTTCAACATGGGGAGCCTGAGGCTGAGACCACAGGAAGCCCGGGGCCTGAGGGAGTCCTAGGTGGGGACCTTGCCCAGCCAGGGAGCTGAATCCTGAAGACAGCCCATCAAGAAGTCAGTGACGGGCTTCTCTGGTGGCGCAGTGGTTGAGAGTCCGCCTGCCGATGCAGGGGACACGGGTTCGTGCCCCGGTCTGGGAGGATCCCACATGCCGCGGAGCGGCTGGGCCCGTGGGCCGTGGCCGCTGGGCCTGCGCGTCCGGAGCCTGTGCTCTGCGGTGTGGTGGGGGAGGGCCTGCAGCGGTGAGAGGCCCATGTACCGCAAAAAAAAAAAAGAAGTCAGTGACAAGAAAGGGAAAAGGGAGCTCCTGGCGCACGAAATGGCAGAGCACAGACAGAGAGATGGGGGGCGCCGAGACCGTGGGGCCTTGCGCGCTGGGGCAGGGGGTGGGTGCTGCCCCAAAGGCAGGGGGGACTGAGCACATGGGGCTCATTGTGCTTTCTCGTCTCATAGGACTCTGACCCAGGACGACCCGGGGGACAGCCAGATCACGCTGGAGGAGCTCACACAGACGGTGAGCCAGGCCCGCCCCCTTGCTCGCTGGCCAAGTCTGTCCTTCCCTGGCCTCCTGGCTCCCAGGATCCCCACCCAATGACCCCTTGATGGAGCTCAGTCACCCCCTGTATTGGTTTCCTAGAGCTGCCCTAACAAAATACCCCAGACTGGTGACTTAAAATAACAGAATTTTATTCTCTCATAGTTCTGGAGGCCAGAAGTCTGAAATTAAGGTGTCGCTGGGGCCATGCTCCATCCAAAGGTTCTAGGGGAGGACCCTTCTGGGCCTCTTCCGGCATCTGGTAGCCCTGGGCGTTGCTTGGCTTGTGGCAGTGAAATCTCCCATCTCTGTCTCCATCGTCACATCGCCATCTTCTACCTGGGTGTCCCTGCATCCTTTTCCCTCTGTGTATGTCTGTCCCTGTGTCCAAACTTCCCCGTCTTATAAAGACACCAGTCATACTGGATTAGGCCCACTCTTAATGACCTCATCTTACCTGAGCACATCTATAAAGACCTTATTTCAAAATAAGGTCACAGTCACAGGTACCAGGGTTTAGCACTTCAGCTTATCTTTTTTTGGCTGGTGCGGAATTCAACCCATAACGCCACCACCTCCATTTTCTTCATCCTCTGTCTCCCATCCCTCCCCTGATGCCTCAACTCTCTCTGGTCGCATTGTCCCTGGAAGGAGGAGGGTAGGAAGTCAAGCCTTCAGTGGATGAGATGCCCCTATGCGCTGGAGCTGTGCTAGAGTCTTAAAGACGCTTATCAATAGTGCTGCAAGTTTATATCATTATCCCCACCTTCCGGAGGAGGCAGCTGAGGCAGGGGTAGGGGGAGCGACCCAGCCCAGGTTATGCTAAGTGACAGAGCTGGTGTTCACACTCAGAACTCATTGCGCACGCCACACTGCCTCACCTGGAGGGGACAGGATGCAGTTGGCCACCTGCCTAGAAATGAGGGGACCCCGGGCAGAGCTCACGGTAGCGTTCCATGCGGTGGAAGGGGACGATGGTCTGTGTGCTTCCAGGGCCTGGCTAGGCCCACTTTTATTTCCAGGTTGATGACGTGCCACCACGAGCCACCCCAGAGCCCCAGGCCCCTGCCATCCACCACTGCAGCCAAGGAAGCTCAAAGCCAACTCTGACCTCCCCGGAGGTGGAGACCGTGCGGGCCCCTTGGCCCCCGCTGGCTCGCTTCTCAAGCTGGCTGAGTGACGTCCATTCTGTCCCAAGTAGCCAGTGTGAGGACTTAGGCCTCTGGGCTCTGAGCCCGCTGCTCCCCTCTTGTCCCCTCTCCTGACTCCTGGAGCTCGTTCTCCTGCTCGGGGCATGGGTGAGGCCATCCATGGAACACTGGCACCCCGCCTGCACCTGGCCCCTGAGAGCAGCACTGCAGGGCTGGCACCCCAGGAAGCCACACGTGCCCCCCGCAGGGAAGCTCAGGGGAGCAGCTACACTCTGCCCTTGTTTCCCAGTAGGGGCCCGACTGGAATGTTTACCCCTCAAGAGCCTGAGGGCCTCTTGTTCCTTCATGAAGAGCTGAGGCTCTTCAGAACAAAGCACTGCCCGCCGAGCTGCCCCCGGCCCTGACCTGGTTCCCAGAGGCCAGAGGGCCTGCAAGGGGCATGTCCAGTGTGGAGGAGGCCCCACGGCCTCACCAGAGAGCAGAAGGGCTTCCTGCTGTGACGGCTTTCCAAGCCTCTGCTGCCAGGCTCAGCCCTCACCTGGCCACGCCAGGAGGAAGCAGGGGGAGCCGCCCCTCCTCCTTGCCCAGCACTCTTGCTGGGCCTCCCCGCAGCACTCAGTGCCCCTGGCCACTGGGCCACCCCACCCTGGCTCGTAGGCCACTACCCAGGCCCAGCCCGGCCCTTGGTCCTGACAGTTCAGCCATCCTGGGCCTTGAGGAGCAGGCTGAGCTCCCCGCCTACCGCCCCTGCTTCAGAGGCTGGGGGTTCCTCCCCATGAGCCTCCTGACCCTGCAACACAGTGTCCCAGGAGGCACCTGCTGCTCTCATCCCCACGTCCCCGCTGCCTTCCTGAGAACTTTTCCTCCCCTGTTGGCATCGTGTCCCTCACACCCGGGCTCCTGCATCTGGGCTTCTGCACAGAGCATTCCTGGCCCAGGGCGACTGTGTCAGGGGGATGCATGGACCCTCACCAACACACATGCACACACACCACACACACACACTACACACACACATGCGCACACACCACACACACATACTAGACACACACCACACACCACACACACACACACAAACACACGCACACACACACACAACACACACACACCACGCAGAGGCTGGAGTAGGAGCCCTTTCCTCAGCTTTCCCACACTCTGTCCCTGCTCTGGTCCTGTGACTGGAGCTCCTGAAGCCAGGGACGTGTTTTCTGGTCTTTCTGTCTCTGGTGTCTTGCAAGGTCCTGGCAGGGCCGTTCTGGATGACTGTTTGCCGAGAAGTGGGAGGGAGAGACTCTGTCCAGGAGGGGGGGCTTGTTCCCTTGATTCGGGGTTGCCCCACTTTCCTTGTGATCAGTGCGGCTTCCAGGGGCTCGGCCGGCTGGCCGGGCCCTCTGGGCAGGGTAGCTGCCCCTCTCCTCTGACGCGGCCCAGTTGGCCCCAAGGGGGAGAACAGGGGCGTCCTTGGTCCCGACTCTCTTCCCAAGACTGCACAGTTGTCCCCTCCCCCTATTTTCTCTAGCTCCCTGCAGCCTCTCCCAGATCCAGCAGACTTTCCAGAGGCCTTTGTGCCCTGGGCCTCATCTTGTCTAATCCCTGCCGTGGGGACATTGGCCCCCTCGCCAGTGTTTGCTGAGGATTTCCCTTGATCGGGGGGCTCAGGTAGCGGTCACCTTTAAAGGTGGTGTCCATGGTGGCCCTGGGGGCGGGAGCATGGTACCCAGGGCTAAGGCAGACAGCTGTCTTCTGGGCACAGGACGGGGGCACTGTCCCAGGAGGTACTCACACCGGTGAGTTCTTCTCTGCTAATGAAGGTTAAAAGGAAATTTTATGGGGAATTCCCTGGCGGTCCAGTGGTTAGGGCTACACGCTCTTACTGCCGAGGGCCCGGGTTCAATCCCAGTTGGGGAACTAAGATCCCACAAATCCTACAAGCTGCACACCATGCAGCACAGCCAAAAAAAAAAAAGAAAAAGAAATTTTATGGAGCCAGTTGTGGACCCAGACAGGACCTGAAGGGAAAGACGGATCACAGCCTGGAGTCGGATGGCCTGTGTTCCGGTCTCAGTCGTCCTGTTTCTGGCTGATTGCCGTGGGCTAGTCATTAATCTCTGGGTGCCTCTGTTGTCTCATCCATGCTCTGGGGGCAAGTGATGACCAAACGAGTGACCCGGAAGCACAGAACAGGCCTGCGCGTTCACGCAGACACACACACACACACACACACACACACACACACACACGGCACGACAGAGAGCGACTCCCAGCCCCCTTTCGTCCCGTCCTCATCTCCCCTCGGCAGGTCTGCCAGCGGGCGGCCTCCCCAGTCACGCCCCACCCACCCACTCACCAGAATCGAGGTGGAGATGCCCTCCAACAAGTGGCCAAAAAGCCAGAAGGTGTCCCTCATGGGCCTAACTGGGACCTTGCTCCTCTCAGGCTGAAGGCGTGAAGGCCGAGCCCTTTGAAAACCACTCAGCCCTGGAGATCGCGGAGCAGCTGACCCTGTTGGACCACCTGGTCTTCAAGAAGATCCCTTATGAGTGAGTGGGTGCAGGTTCAGACACCCCAGCCTTCCTCCTCGGGCACCGTCTTTGGCTGAATCCCCATCACTGAAGCATGCTCAGTAGATTTCCAGAGCTGCATGGATTGATTCTCCACAGCTTGAAACAAAAATGCACGTGCCGGCAGGGATGAGAGAGGATCCCTATCCCCTTTCCTGTCCCCAAGTTCCGTCCTTACCTACCAGCTACATGTGCGTGCCCGCGCGCGCGCGCGCGCACGCACACACACACACACACACACACACACACACACACACTTTTCCAGAAGCAGCTCTAATTCGGCGCTCCTTTCCTGGAGGTCTAGAAAATGAGTATGTGTTCACGTATGTGCACACATGTACATGTGAGCAAATGTGCACACACGCATGAGTGTGTGTCGGTGTGTATGCATGTGCAGGAGCAGACTCTGGGGGGACTCTCTGGACTTTGAAGCAGCCCCAAGGCCTGGTTGTTACCTGCTCTGGCCCAGCTGTTCGTTGTAACTATACCACCTACATAATTTTTTACCACCCTTTATTCACCTAACGGTACACCAAAATGGTATCTGTAAAGACATCGTTTTTAATAAGTGCACAGTATTCCCCAGCAGTGCACTAAGCCATGGGCTTGTTTCCAGTTTTCACTTCTATATTTAAAGCTGGGGCAAACCTCCTTGTAATTAAATATGTCTCTGAATTTCTGACAATTGTCCTAGAATAGTTTCCTGAAATTGGAATCACTGCTTCTGAGGTTATGAATCATTGTAGGACTTTTGATCTCTGCTTTCCAGAAAGGTAGCCCCACCTGGCACACACAGAGGCCCCCACTGACTGGGGCACTAACTCACCTAGACAGAGAGTGTCGACATTTTAGAAACCTGCCGCATCTCCTGCATGTAGAGACAGCAGTTATTTCTGACAGTAGTTATTGCTCCCTCCTGCCCATGGAACTGTCCAGGTCACTCTCACAGTCACTATCAAATAAGGAGCTTCTCCTGGAGGCCTGGATGGTCTACGGTCCCATGAGGTCACCATTACCAGAGCACACTGCTGGCTTGGCTTGCAAGCTCCTTTATACTTCCATCTGGCCCTTTTTTGTGGCCTTCTGTCCTCCCTGTTCTACAGACCAACTTCTGCAAGGTGACTTTAAAACGGGAGCTCTCCCATTCAGAAACAAGATCCAAAACAAGATCTGATGTGCCCATTGCACCGTATCTCATTTCAGCCTCACAATAACCCTGTAAGAAAAGTATTGTCACTATTCCTGTCTCACAGATGAGGAAACTGAGGCCCGGAGACATCAAGGGCTTACCCAAAGCCACACAGCTGGTACGAGGCAGAGCTAGACCTGACCCCAGGGTCCCTTCCTCTCGAGGGCTCTGCAGAAAGTTACTCCCCAGAAATGACAACTTCAAAAAGCAGAGAACTCAAAGCAAAGAAATCAGCAAAGGCAAACCTAACCTCATCCACCCCGGGTTTCTCCCTTTCTTCCTACAGGGAGTTCTTCGGACAAGGATGGATGAAACTGGAAAAGAATGAAAGGACCCCTTATATCATGAAAACCACTAAGCATTTCAATGATGTGAGTATGGGGGTAGGGGAGCGGGTGCAGTGCCTTTCTCTGCAGGTTTCTCTTCGGCGAGGCCTTCTGAAAGGGCTGTACACCTGGCTAGAACCAGACCACCTGGGTCCTCTCCAGCTCCGTGATTCATGGGCATGATAATTTCATTTAAAGCTCACGCCCATCCTAAAAGATGGGGGCTGTTATCACACTTTAGATACAAAGAAACCGAGACTCTGAAGGGCAGATGCCTGAGGTCTCCTGACCAGTGTCTGGTAGCTCGTGGCCTTCCTCTGCTGTACAGCCCCAGCCAGAAGGAAGAAATCTCTCCCGGCAACTTCCCCGCATTTGCCCAAGCTCCAACCCCTGCAACCGCGGGGACCCATCCACCCCCAGCCTTGTGACAGCCTTGAGGGCATTTGCACTCAGCATCTTCATTCCTCTGTTGATGAATTTAACCATCAACACAAGAGCTTTTGACGGCCGGAAGTGGAGGCATATGAGTCCACCTGTCCTGACCGCCTGGTCAAGGCCGCATCATGTCAAACACAGCCGGGGTCGGACCCTCATCCTGGGAAGGTCCTCAGCAGCCTGGAGGAAACAAGGAGGACCCAGGTATTGCAGCTCAGGGGAGGAGCCCGACAGGGAACACAGCCGTAGAATGGAGAGCAGGATGTATAGCAGGAGAGAGGAAGCGATGGATGTGGGCAAGGCCCCAGGAAACACACACGAGGCCTGAGTCAGACGACGCCTGACCCAAAAGTCCAACCACAGCACCAGGCAGCAAAAAATGTCCCTCTCCGGGGACTTCCCTGGTGGTCCAGTGGTTAGGACTCCACGCTTCCAATACAGGGCACGTGGGTTCCATCCCCGGTCAGGGAGCTAAGAATCCCACATGCCGCATGGCGCGGCCAAAAAAAAAAAGTCCCTTTCCCCCCTCTCCCACCCTCTCCCCCAGTGTGTACCCAGGACTCACATAAGTAAAAGGTGAGAATATGAAGTGAGCATTTATTGAATGTTGACCGTGTGCCAAGCACTATGCCAAGGGTTACGTAAGCATCATCTCATTTAATCCTGTTATTCTCATTTTTGTCTAATTCTCTGTTATGGATGAAGAAACCGAGGCTCAAGGAAGTTAAATTTCACCCCCAGTCATCAGCAGAAGAGAATGCTTTGAACCCACACAATCCACCTCCAGAGGGCTACCCTCATCGCTACCTGGCATTTGGCCATCTCTGTTAAAATCCACCTTTCTTTGTTTTCAGGTACACAGCATGTGTACCTCTTTGAAGGTGATATTCATGGCCTGAAACTCTGTTTCTTAATCTCTCCCTGACACAGGGTTTTGTTTTGTTTTGTTTTTGCTGTTTCCCAGTCCTGTTGTCTTTAATTCTTTATCTTATTGATTGGTACTGGCTAGGATCTCCAGTATCAGGGCTAGAACTAGGGTAAGTTGAACGAGGTGCTCAGGGGGCAAAATTTAAGGGACTGTTCACCCTCGGGTGCATGCACTTGCACCCTGGGTGCCTCCAGACCTGGCCCTTTATGACAGTGTTCAACAGAAATGGTGATAGTGAATCTTATTCTTGGTTTTAAAGAGAATGCTTCTAATATTTCCCTGCTTAAGATAATGTTTGTTTCTTTATCAAGTTAAAGAAATTCTTCTTATTATTCCTTGTTTGCTAATAGTGGTTTTTACTATAAATGAATACTGCATTTTATCAAAATTTTTTCTGCATCTATTGAGATGGTCATATGGTTTTTCTCCTTTAAATCTGTTGATGTGATGAATGACAGTTACAGAGTTTTCTCTAATATTCAACCATCCTTGTGTTCCATGGACAAATCTAAAATATTCATGTTATATTAAACAAAAGGATGTGTAATTTTTCCTTCTTGTATTTTCTGTATCTGGATTTGGTATCAAGATTGTACTGGCTTCATAGAATAAATTGGCAGGTATTCCTTTTTTCTCTCTTCTCTGGAAGATTTGACTACTCTATTCCTTTAAAAAAGTTATATAACATGTGTAAAACTGTTTTGAATTCCGTGTTTTCTTTATGGAAAAAAATACTAATTCAATTTAATTAAGGTTTATAATATGTGTGCTATTTTGTACTACCATTCCTCCCGGATTCTCTTCAGTAGTTTTTCCTTCTTAAATAGTTTTATAATTCATTCTTCTTTATATACATCCTTTAGAAATTTTTCTAAAGAAGAATATTTCTGGGTGGTAAAGCCCTACAATTTATATTCATTGGTAACTGTCCTTTAATCACCTTTATTTTTTTAATAACAAGTCGTGTTTTTTGTACTTTTTATTTTTAAATAATTATTGATTCATAGGAAATTGCAAAGAAATGTACAGGGAGGTCCAGTATTTCCTGCTGCCCCAGTTCCTTGTGGTTGTAGCTCCCTGATGTTTTGGCCCCAGCTTCCTACCCCCTGGCTGCTCCAGGTCCAGTCCACATTTAGTTTGTGTGTATGTGATTATTTGCTGTGCAGGGGTAGAGTAGTCCTTGGATATGTGAGACCAGGGATGCCCCAAAGTGTGTGTCCTATCCAAGCTTTAGTTGTATGGTGGGAGTTTCCCTCAGAGCTTGGCTCTTCTTAACTCTCTGTTCTTCTGGATAAACTTCAGAATTACTTTGTCAGGTTTTCAAGATAACTCGCATTGCATGTTTTATTGGATTGCATTAAACTTGTACATTCGTTTTCAAAAAAGACATATTTACATTTCCATTTTGGAATCTAATCTTTTTCTTCATTAATCAATTCTTTTATTACCTTTGGTAATAAAAGGTATTTTTATTTATTTTTCATGTAGCATCCTACATAGTTCTCATTACAGATCCCAGGTAATTTACAGATTCCCACTGGTATTTTGAAGATGGTATCTTTTTTCATTGTATTTTCTAATTGGTATTGCTAATATATATTAAAAAAATTATTTTTGTATATTGAGTCTTTAACCAGCTACCCTAATGAGCTCTGTTGGTTGTTCTGGCAGTTTTCCAATTCATTCTTCCAGGAATTTTCAAACAGACAATCATTTAATCTGCAAATAATGGTGATTTATCATCTTTACAATACTTACTCCTTTTACTTTTTTCTTATCTTATTGCATGGGCTTAAAGATCAGTAACTTGATTGCTTCAGAAATCATCCGAAATGAGGACATCAATGCGAGGGTGAGCGCCATCGAGAAGTGGGTGGCCGTGGCTGACATATGCCGATGCTTACACAACTACAATGCTGTTCTGGAGATCACCTCATCCATGAACCGGAGCGCAATCTTCCGGCTGAAAAAGACATGGCTCAAAGTCTCTAAGCAGGTGCGGGCAGGAAGCCAGCTTGGCCTGATGGTCTGGGCTGGGGATGGGGCGGAGAGACCAGAGGGCCACCATCCATAGGTGGATGAAGGACAGGGTGAGGGCCAGTACTCCCAGGTAAAACAGAGAACCTCTTCTCCTATTTCACCTGGGACCAGATGTCAGGCCAACGGATGTGGCACTAGGACCTTGTGGGACTTTAATTCCCACTTGAATAATCAATATGCCAAAGTGGGATATAGGACAGTGATTATTGGTCCCAACACTCTTTTCCTTGAGTTGGGACAAAAGAGTGGTGACTTCTTGGGGATCTCAGTCCAGATCTGCAGGTTACCGAGATGGTGGCCAGATGATCCTGCAAGTCCTTTCCTCGGATGTTGATTTCACCAGCCCTTCTGGCCCCCAGAGAGTTAACTTGTCCCTGTTACCCATTAGATAGTATATGATCTTAAATATGGGCTTGATCTTTATTCACTCAGAACCTGATTCTGAAAAACCATAAGGTGGAATCTTCCTCAGGAATAAAGCTCCTTGCCCTGGGGTCATGAGGAGGCAGCTCTCCTGAAAGGAGAGCACAACGGGACACTTAGGCCACCTCCTTTCTGGGTGCACTGGATGTCCCAGCCCCAGCCTGCATGTTGGCAGAAAGCTGGACAGTGACCACCAAGGGACACGGTAAGCCTCCAAAGGCACCAGTAACTTGGTTATAGTGTCTCTGGTCCTACAGCCAGGTGGGCTGTGTGGGGCCCAGGGTCTCCAAGGGGCCTGTCCCATCTGGACCGTTCTGGACTTACCCCCCTCATAGTTCTGTTTCTCCCCTGCCCCTCACTACTCTCCTCGTGCCAATGGCAGGGCATGATTCTACTCCCCAGGCAGGCAGCAGGCCCATAAATCCCTCCTACTTAGATAAGCAGCCAATCTCAGGACAGCCCTGGGACATCTCTGCTGCCCTTCTGCTGCCAGCCAATCACTGCAGCTCCAGATTAGAGCAGGACTGCAAAGTACCCCTTCCATCCAATGAGGCTGGGCCTCTTGCTTAGCACACAGAGATGCCAGGGTCAGGATGAAAACCAGAAGGTGTCTCTCTTGTGAGCGGGCTTCTAGAAAGAACAGAGGCTGGAAATGCGGGAGCTCAGGTGAGCAGGCACATCTGGCCACACGTGGCACACAGTGTCATAAACTCCCGAAGTCGGGTTGAGCAAGGCTGCCACAGAACCTCTAAGTCATCTAGGCTGATCGGCCTGTTGAGGTTCAGACGTGGCTATGGGCAGAGTCTGAGGGACCCATTTCAGGTCAGCATCTTTCTTCTCCTGCCCTATTCCATCAGAATGATGTCATCTTTCCTAGAAGCCCGCAGACCAGGCTCCATTTTCCTACCCCATTTCTGGGGGTGCAGGAATTTCTTGGCTGCATTCCCCAGCATCACCCTTGTCATAGAGTTGGGAGGGAACTGCCTTGACCATCCTGAAGTCTTCCATTCTCTTAGGAGAGTGCAAATGGAGGGCAGTTAGAGGTCAAGGTGTGTGATCTGGCCTGCCTTCCAGGATGTCATTCAAGACCTAGGGCCAGCCAGCCAGCCTGGTCCAAAACTCAAAGATGCCTCTGAAAACACATCTAGGCCTGCACCCTCTATGGCAGACTGGACCACACTGGCTTCTCCCAGCCCTTCAGTTTGTGCTATAGTTGTCTGTGTGCATAGCTGCCGGCTCCAAGAGCTTCTGGGTAGCCATGGCCGTGGCCTGGTCAACACCAACCAGGAACAGTTCACTGTCCCTCTGCAGGTATCCCATAGGCCAAGATGGCCACATTTCTGCAGCTAGTTTTTTTTTTTTTAATCATTCCCTTCAATGTGCCAGCCCAAAGCAGAAAAGCCTGTGTCCAAGTCCAGTCTAGCCTCGGCAAGAGTCAGAATTAGTTTGGGATGTCCGGTGCCTCCCCTTTCTTCTTCCAACCTCTCTTCCCATCCTCTTTGAAAATAAGAACTTTCCCTCGGGAAAGGATCAGATGATGCACCTCCATTGGATGATGCAGATGACTAATGCAGTTATATGTGTTTCCTCTCCCTGGAATGGTTGGATTTCAGTAGAGACATAAGCCTCTCTTTGACTAACTATACTTTTTGGCTTCTTTGGAAGGAGCAGCCTTGGCCATCCAGAAATCTTGTTTGGCGAACAGGAAAGGATGGTATTTAAGAGGCCATATATAATCATCTTTCTTCCTGACACTGTTTCCAAGGCAGGCTCCTTGCTTGGTCTCTGGTTTCAGAGACGTATTCCAAGTGCCCCCGTATTTCGACTCCCTGGTGTCCATACTCCAGCAGAGATGCCCAAGGCCCCAGGGGGCCTGCTATCCCAGTGAGCCTCAAAGGATGGAAGCTCCTGGCGTGGCCAGAAGATGCTTGAGCTGCTTCAAGTCAGAACACACTTTCTAAGCAGCAGCTGGGAAAATCCAGTGGCCTCCCAGGACACAAATCTCCTTCCTGGACCGAAAGCAATAACCGGAAGAGGAGCAGACACACACCTCAAGTAAGCACGCAGGTGCGGAAGAAATCAAAGCGTGCCCACCTCGGAGCCACAAATTGGCCCCAAGTGTATGCAAGAACCCCACCCACCAGAATATCTTTTGTACATTTTCATGGTCTCTGAGCATGGTGATGCTTTACCTGGAGCTACGTGGCTGTGTAGCTTTTACGTCACCCACAATTCTGGACTGTCTGAATGAGTATTGCCCTTAAGGAACACCTGGACCTACCCTCCCATTTTCCAGATACGAAAGTCAAAACCTAGCAAAGTGAGCAGAGTGGTACCTGGCCCACAGGCATGCTGAGGGTGGGCGACAGAGTCCACTGAGGGCTCTGGACACTCAGACGCCACATCTGGCCTCAAGCTGCAGCATCTCATGTCTCTGCAGGTGGAGGGGAAAGAAGAGGATGCAAGAGCACAGCTCTGGAAAGAGATTAAGTGCAGGAGGGCCATTGAGAGCCTGGGGTGGAGGTTCGCCTGGGCGTCTGAGAAGGGTCATCGCAGGTGAAAGCAGAATCATCTGCCCTTGGCTTGGTGGGGCTTGTTCCATCCTGGCCTGCGGCTCTTTCACCAGATCCAGAATAAATGTTTGCTTTGAGCGGGGTCAGTCCAAACCAGGCGACAAGACTTCGGATTGATAGGAGGCACCGAGCAGATGGGTGTTTCTCAGATAAAAATTAGACCCGAAGATCAGGGGTGTACTTGGCCTCTGTGGCCAGTGTCCCCTCCAGGCTGACTAGCCCCTCTGGTAATAAGATGCACGGCTGGCTGGTCTCCGGCCCGGTTTCTCAACCACATTCTGGATTCTGAGGGTTAGAGCTGGAAAGGTGGTCACTAGTCATCCCCCCGTTTTATGAATGAGGGCGCTGAGGACCTCAGAGGTGAAGGGGTTTCCCCAGGTCACACAGGAGAAGCACAAAGCCGGGCTCCACCCAGGACATGCTCTGTGGCACACACCTGGTCCCTTAAGACAAACTCCAGCCACCCAAGTTGCTCCGGCCTGATACGTGGGCAGGGCCTGGCCTGGTCATTTGGCAAAAGATGGGACCCTTTGCTGCAGGGTTTCCTCTTCTCCATCAAAGTCTTTTCTCCTTTGATGATCAGTTCATCTGCCATCTTCTTTCCTTGATTCTTAAATCTGGGTGGTGCTCCTGATATAGCAAAGTGAAGGTATGAGAAGATGGTCATATCCTTTGGGTACAGTCGCGAGAAAGATCATGATGTTGAAGCACAGGCCATGCCCTGTACCTGGTCCAGGTCCCTGGAGTTACCCCCGCCAAGTCCTTCCCAACCACCCAGGTCTCAGGACCCTGACACTTGGACCCTCCTGACCCTACTCCCATGTTTCTGAAAGATGTATGAACACAGGCAAGCAAAACAAACATCCGTGTCTGCCTCCTCAGGAGTTCAGGGTCAAGTCCCCAGACCCAGGAAGTCCCCAAATCCCCGTGCCCTATCTCGAGGAGGCAGAGTGAAGCCCTGGAGTGTGGGCCAGAGTCGCGGGCCTTGATGTGTGCTATGTGCTAGTAAATACTTCTAATTCCTTCTAGACAAAAACTTTGATTGATAAGCTCCAAAAGCTTGTGTCGTCAGAGGGCAGATTTAAGAATCTGAGAGAAGCTCTGAAAAAGTAAGTGTGTGTCATTTTGTCACCATTATTTTTTAAATTGTAGAACCACACTGCAGAGGCATTCACGTGCCACCCCTGGCTGGAGCAGGAGGTCTGTCTGTCTGTCCATCTGTCGACCCACAAGACCGACCCCTACACAACCCAGACCCCCAGGGCAGGTCAGCTTTGTCCTCCATCATCTACCAGAGAAATTCCAAGGTGTCAGGGCATTTCCCAGGAGAGGCACAGGAAGCGTCTTGAGACGTGCAGTAGCTGTGATGATGGTAATAGTGGTGCCGGATTCCTTGATTCCAAAATGCACATTTTATTTTACATTTTACCATTTCTGACATCAGGATACATCTCACAGTCAGTGTATTTATTTTGTATGATTGTGTTTCCTTTTTGTACTGGATAATTAGTCATCAAGACAAGAGTGCATTTTACACACAATGGCATCTTGGAATCGAAGAGATACGGTTTTACCAGTAATTTACACCTTACAGTTTGCAAAGTTTGTGCCCTGCCTGGCCATGGTGTGTGCAGCCCCATTAACACTGCCTGGGAGCGGGGCCTTCTCAACCTCGGCACTCTTGTCCTTTAGACCAGGATTTTTTTTTTTTTTTTTTTTTTTTTTTTTTTCCCCCCC